TTCGCTGTGATTGGCCATCACGGTCGCCTGGTGCTTGATGTTCTAGCCTTGTCCTCGAAGGGTTCTGGGTTCTGTCCGTAAATTCTATCACTAATCCTGAAATAATGTCGCCACCAGCCAGTAGCTTGAAGTAGAGACTGGAGTTTTCTTTCAAAACGTCTTGAAATGCCGATATGTTCTGACAATCGACAGTGCCCAACACAAAATCGATATGATTACTTGTTTCGATTACAGTGCCCTTGCCTGTTCTAATCGTCTTCACTTCGCATTCAATCTGGCAGCTGCATGTGGATTAATGCTTTTCTCGGTGAGTACATTTAATTCCATATTATGTAAAACACATTTTATTAGTCCATTAGTTGGCATTTTAGAATTAACCATTAGGAATCATATTACCAGACACGTTAGTCGCTGCTACCATTTGTGGAATACAAATTGCACACAGCGAAGCGTCCTTTACGTGTACTTGTTTGTCATTAATTTTATAGCTGGTGTTATTAATGGTTCGTAGTTGAGGCGGCCGCCTCTGAGGCACTGTCTGGACGCAGGACATTAGCCTTACAAAGTCAGCCATTCTGGCACTTCGTAATTATAAATTCAAAGAGAAAATGATCGTGGTATTTACTGGCCCAAATGTTTGTTCAAACCGTATTTTTATGCATATGTCATTTGCAACCTCGATGGACCTGGCTGAAGGACCATCTCTTAATTCGCTGTTTACGCTGAAACCAGAAAAATTTCTCATTTGCCTTGTAGGCACACGAATACCAACATTGTCCTAAAAAATGTCAGTTTTTTTCCCCCTAAAAAGTATTTCTAACAGAGCATCGAGATATCGTCCCCTGGAATTAAGCGTTGAAAGTTCAAAATGAAATCGCTTAGGACAGAGTCCGGTGGCGGGATTTTGTGAACACGGTGATGAACATCCGGATTCCATAAATAACGTGAGTTATTGAGAGTTAAAATTAAATAATAAATATGAAATATAAAACTCGAACAACCGTCAATGACACTAAGTGGGTAATTTTGTTTAAACTATTAAAGTCAATCGATGTAAGATTATTTAATACGACCGAGTCATACGCTAGTTTTGACTTCAATTAAGGCATTATATAAAACAATAAGACAGTTTAGAGGAGAGAATTTACAAGTAGTGTAACGAGTAAGCCCTGGGAATGCACATTATTATCTTAGCAATTAAAATGCAATTTGCTATCAAACATGACACCGTCTTTTGTACAGTCCTTACGCAAAATTGAACCATCACTGGCATAGTAATTATGTGTGAAATATACAGTTTTATTTATCTGAAAATCAAGTTCCACGCCACCATCTGCCGAATCTGTATCAGGTTGAGAACATTTGCATTATTCAACAGACGTTATGTCTCGATATATTTTCAGGTCAAATAATTCATTTCAGCAGAAAGGTTGTTAATAAAGGCGTTCAGTAAGAGAGGTCCCAAGGTAGAGTTTTGTGGTCCTCCAGATAACACAGAGCAAGGAGAATGATACTTCCCTAAGATGCGAACAAACAAATATAAATTTGGTTTCATTTAACGTAAAGTAGACGCAATCTAATTAATTATTTAGTGTTCTGTCTGACGACAGGTCCATATGAACAGGATCCTTCCATCCTTTTCTCGGACTGGGACCTGTTCATATACGTTCTTGGCAGATGATCCAGAAGTGGTTTACCATTGCCTTCTTCTGTACAAGGCCAGCGTTCTACCCGCTAGACAAAGTAATTCCGATAATTATAGGAGCAACTGGAATTGTCTCCAAGTCACTCAAGAAATATTTGGCCAACGTCCAGGGCGAACACGACATCGGGGAACTTCAGAAAATCGCCTTTCTAGGAACATTATTCATCGTTCGGAAGACGCTTATGCAAAATATATAATGCCTCACGTGAAATCTGTTTAATGCATGGAACACGTATTAAAATACAAAATTTATTTCAGAAATATCTGCTGCACTATGTACCTCAGGGACAAGGTCTGTCTCGGGTACATAGAAGCAAATACATAGTAAAACGGTGAATAGATGGAATAATAATAATAATAATGATATTGATAATAATATTTCACTGGTGTTTTCACAGACCTGTAGGGGCAGTGCATTAAGTGTTAACTTTAGAGAGCTTTCCATCCCAACAAAAACCCACATGTTAGCAAACGTTAGAACACGTCGAGAAGCTGTCGGTATAGCAGACTTCTTCCGTACCGAACACCGCTTTGGGTTCAATGACCTCCTTTCCCCTACCTCTCAGGTACCATTTTTTGAAAAATTCGTCGTGAAGCCAACTCTGGCCGCCCGTATCTTCAGCTTACGAGGCAAGAACCAAGTTCTGAGACAGCATTTGGACAGAGTTTATCTCGCTCAGTGTCCAGTTACGAGCTGGTGTGAACATGGTAATGAACTTCAGGTTTTTCAAGGACGCTTTTCCGTCAAGTGCTGAAAAATATGAGTGCTATAATCGCTCTCCACGCACGCCTACCAGAGATTCGTTTTACAGTTACGCGAATTGGAAATACGATTCTGTGGAAAACATCGCTCCTTTTAACTACGTTGTTCTTCTGGGTTGTGACGCCATGTAGACTCGTAGGTAGACTCAAACATTTCGGAGGAACATACACTTTTTAGCCCTGAAGATGGAGGCAGTATGTTTCTCCGAAACGGTATCTACACCGCCACCTTGACGGCTGTGAGAACACCGATTCTCCTGTTGTCCTCCTCAAACTTTGAGGAATTTAGAATTTTCCCGAGATTGTCTTCTGCACTAGAAACACGTCATATTACACTCGTTTTTTACGCTTGTTCTGATTGAACCAAACCAACGATGAGATAAGAGCAAACACGTGTTTGTGAAGGGATGGCTTTTCTGTAGTGTGAAAAGCCGCTCAAAGTACTGAAATGCAGGGATCCTTTCATATACCCTAATTAATCATCAAATTAACTTCAAAAGTGGATTCTTTAAAAAAAATCTTCGTTGAAAACGAAGTCCCTGCTCTTGCAGAGAATGGGTTTTAATTTGTGGTGTTGTATGCTAGGGGCAGGCTACTCCATTCACTGTCCGGTTCCTATAAACCTAGCCCCAACCACCCAATTGGCACATTCATCGCCCTGATGACGGAGGCAGTATGACCTCTGAAACGTTGGTTAACATCGACCAGACTACACAGCGCAACAACCCAGAAGACAGAAACCTTCATACTCATCGCCCTGATGATGGAGGCAGTATGACCTCTGAAACGTTGGTTAACATCGACCAGACTACACAGCGCAACAACCCAGAAGACAGAAATCTTCATACTCATCGTTGTGAAAACCTCAAATCTTACATCGAATTACTGACGCACTTAGAACTCGACCTACTACAGGGCAATGTTTTCTCAACTGGAATACATCGGTTTCTAGCCAAAGATTCACAACAGCCTTCAGACTTCCGCAATGGTCTGTACTGCCAAGGTCAAAGCTTACCTCCTGGGTAAGAAACAGTAGTTGGCCACTCGGTCTGTCCGGTAGCGTCGGTAGGCTGTCTACTGTCTGTTACGAAAACATCGTCATAACAAACCGCTGCAGAATTTTTAATTGAAATGAAGAAAGGGAATCAGAAACACAATTTGTTGATAACAAGAATTAGGCGATTCTACGGAATATTCATCGCAGGATTCCTTAAGGGAAAAGTTCAATAGGAAGACCTAGATGTAGATGGGAGGATAATATTAATATAGATCTCGCTCAGGATATGGTTCAAAGGCGTGTTTTTATGAACACGTTGATGAGCCTTAGAGTTTCATAAAAGGCGATAATTTCTTAAATAACTGTGGCTACTGTTAAATTCTCAAAAAATCATTTTTATTCATTTAAACTTCTTCATCTTATGCCGCGTGTCTCTGTTTCATGGACCTCGTCGTCACTTGTTCCGAATAAACGAAATCAAACAGCATCCGAACTGCCACAGCACTGACATGTTCACGGATGCATTTGAATAGACTGAACTTAAATGCTCGTCAGATCTAAAACTTCTTGACGATGGTGAAGAGTCAATTGAATAAAAATTTTCTTGGATATTATCCATCGTGTAGTAAATATAAAACGTAAGACGACGTTTCGGAGATGGGACTCTATCTCCGTCTTCAGGTTCCTACACAGTTGGGCCCACTAGATAGAGTTAATCCCTATCTCCGGACCTCTTGGATATTATCCATCGTCTAGTAAATATAAAACGTAAAACGACGTTTCGGAGATGGGACTCTATCTCCGTCTTCCTGTTCCTACACAGTTGGGCCCACTAGATAGAGCTAATCCCTATCTCCGGACTTCTTGAATATTATCCATCGTCTAGTAAATATAAAACGTAAAACGACGTTTCGGAGATGGGACTCTATCTCCGTCTTCAGGTTCCTAC